CACGGGCCTCCTCCTCTGGGCTTTCCCAGCGACACCCCTTCTCCCGACGGCCTGATCCACCCACCTCCTCCCCCCCTCCCCCAAATCCGGATCTTTCTGCTGCCTCAGGCAGGGCAAACGTGGAACCCAAAGTCTCGCCAGCTCTGGGCTAACCCCGCCTCCCCCCAAAAAAAAGAGACTTCTTATATTTTACGGGCGCCATTCCGGTTAGCACACCCTGCGCTTGGGTCAGTTTTCTGCTCCGACTGCAATGGCTTGTCATTTTTGACACTAAAATTCCACATGGAAAGCTCAAGAGCGTGTTTTGCCTTCATCAGAAGCGCGTTGTCATCCCTTCTCTACCTTCCCGAGCGCTCCCGGCCCTTCCTGGCTGGGTGACATCCGCAATTATTAGGAGCGTATCCACAGAACTGGAGGATGGTTTCGGTGGGAAGGGCGCACCGGAGGTTGTCCTGTCCACCCCCCAGCTCAAAACGGGGCTGGCTTCGAGGTTCTGCTGGGCTGCGCAGGGTGGTGGTCACTTGGGCAGTAAACATCTCTGAGGAAAGACATTCCCTCTGATAAATGTTTAATTAACAGGTTGAGCAGAATGAGGCGTAGGCTCCGAGCGAAACCTCCCGCGGCGTGATCTCCCAGATGCCGGGAAGCGGATTTGGGGGTTAGGGTGGTCCTGACCTGCTGCAGGTGATGCTGCTCCAGCCCTCTGCTGCAGGCTGGGGACCGGGCGGGGGCTGAGGCTGCCGGTGCCCAGCAGATGCCACTGGTGCCTGCCCGGCTTTGGCACCCGCGGTCCGATCTGCCAAGCAGATCCAGGTGTTTACCGGCTGGGAACGCTGCTCGGAGCTGATGGCCCGGTGGTGTTTTGCAGTCAGTGCCAAAGTCCAAGGCCCTGCTCCCTTTTCCTGCCGGTGCACTTCGCCCCTCCGTGGCCCCCGGGGCAACGTCAGTGTTAGATAAGCTGGTCCACGCTGAGGTGGACCCGCAACCATCAGACACGGGTCGCACGCTCCCGTGGCGCCTGCGCCAGCCGTCACCCCTTCCTGCAAAGCTCCCCTCTGCGTTGGGGGCTGTGCGGCCACGTCCCCTGCCCTTGTCCCGCTTGACTCCCCGGCACTGACCTCTTCTCCTGTGCCCCATCGGAATTCACTCGCTGGTCATTAACCTGCACACCGTGTGGTTTTCCACTATATCCCCTGAAAAAAACAAACATCCCAAACCTCTAAACATGAAGTGTTCCAGCTCCTCTTGCTTTTGCTTTCCAAGGCTTTAAGGAGCGCTTCAGCAAATCAGTGCTGGAAGAAAAAGGACACCATGCTTTTCTTCCCATCCCTCATCCCTTTATGCTGAAGAATGGACTGGTAGAAGTCATGTGTGCCTCCATGCACATGTTTTATATCGTCTTACCACAGGAACATACGGCTCGATTGCCTTCTTTCTAGATGACTAAAGGACTTTCAAGAAACAAGAGAAATTATACAAGGAAACCCAAATCTTTAAAGGACAGAAATGGTATATGTAAAGAAGAAAATATCCCAAACCTGACTATACTGATCATTACGGGGGTGATATGCTAAAAGCTCGTCTGCACACCCACAAAGGAGCACAGGGAGAGGACAGCAGGAGGTGGAACCCAAACAGCACCCTGCCAGGCTGTTCCCAGGCCCATCCCAGGAGCTACCAGCCCACCAAAGGCCCACCTCAAGGAGCAGAGGGGCACGATAATGAGTGGGAACCCAAATTAAGGACTCAGAGGAAGGGATACCTGGTCTGGGCCCCTCCCAGGGCTGACCCAGGGGAGCCTCAGCCCCAGAGCACCTTTAGGGCTGGGGGGGGTCGCTGTGACCAGGCACGTGGGACAGACAATGGGATGCAGGGGAAGAGCTTTTGGGGCCTGCACAAGACTCCTTAGGGGATGCTTAGGGGAGGAACCAAAGGAGGGTTTAGGTGATTTGTGGAGGAACAAGTGTGGGAGAACAGAGGGATACTGGAATAAAAAGGGCCGGTCGCGTGTGAATGGTTTGTGATGGGTTGGCTGGCCATGCCCTGTGCCTGAGCAGCGCAGCCCATCCCGTCTTCTCATTAAGCTCCTTCCTCAGTTTGCCCTTGACTCCCATTGCCATGTGTGTGGGGGGTGTCTGGGTGCCAGCGGCCGGGCTGGGACTCGGGACGTGGGGCAGCACTTGGTGTGTGTGAGCGGCAGCGAGGGTGCGCAGCGAGAGAGGGGACTGGGGGGATCCCGGCAGCTGCTGAAGAGGCTGAGGGGCCTGGGGATTCCTCTGGGGGTCCAGAGCACCAGGGGGAAGATGACTACTGGAGGACCAGGGGGACCGGAGAGGCTGGGATTGAGGGGCAGCTACTGGGCAGAATGCCTGAGCCCAGCTGCTGGAGGGAGCCACATTGTACACATGTGTATATATATATATATAAAAAATTAAACACATATATACACACATGCTCACTAGCACACCTCCGTCCTGCTCAGCCAGAGGAGGGGGTGGGATGAGGCTGCTGGTGCTGTGTTCACGTGAGTGGGCTGCGTGACTGGCCGGGTTATCTGTGTGGCCATCCCTGCGTGTATGTATATAGGTGGTGTGTACGTGTGGGTGCCCACTGGGAACACAAGCTCAGCCTGGCTACTGGTTGGGGCCAAGGACATGGAGCTGCAGCAGCCTGTCTGGGGCTGTCACATCGGGCACAATAAATTTTTCCCCAGCAGCAACCTGTTTTAAGATCCAACCACTACAATTTGCAGTGAGAATCTGGCGGTATGTCCACTCCACAGAGCTGCAGTCCTGCCAAAAAGCAGACTAAAAGAAGAAAAACAAGATCTGGCATTC